AGTCGTCGTAGACCGATTTACTAAGGGCGCTCGTTACATCCCTGCTAGAAGGAATTAGACAGCTTATTAACTTAGCTAAGTCACTATAGAATACATCTTCTATAGCTATTAGGGAACCCCTAAAGGGATAGTCTCCGATAGAGGCTCGACATTTACATCTTACTATTAGAGTAAGATATGCCTATAGCTAAGACTTAAGCATCGCCTATCTATAGCGTTCTATCTACAAACAGATAGCTAGACCGAGAGGCAAAATGCTACGCTATAGTAGTACCTACGCAGCTATATTAATAAGAACCCTAACGACTAGGTTAACCTCCTATAACTAGCCGAATTCGTATACAACAACAGTGTCTACTTATCTACTAAGGTTTTACCTTATTTCGCTATAATAGGCTAGAACGCTGCTATGCTATAAGACCCCCTATCGCTCGAGGCCGAGCGTAAGGAAAGGGAAGCGGGTTAACCTAAAACACTAGCGGCTATTAAGAGGGTTTAAAAGATGCGAGAAATTCACGCTAAGATAGCTAACAAACTAGCAAAGGCCTAGGCCTATTAGAAGGCCTACTATAACAAACACTACCTTCTAATAACCTTTAAGCAAGGCGACCTAGTTATGCTTAGTATAAAGAACCTCCGTATCCGCAAACACCCCTCGCCTAATAGCAAAACAAGGCCCAAACTCGTACTAAGGTATATTAGCCCTTTCCGTATCCGAGAACCTAGGGGCACCTAGGCCTATTAGTTATAGCTTCTACCTTATTATACTATCTATAACACCTTCTATGTATCCCTCCTTAAGCCGTACTACCTACGCGAAGGGGATAAAGCACCTACTAAATCCGAGGACATACTAGCTAATAGTAAAGAACTATAGTCTATAGAACGTATCCTAAAGCACCGGACTAGACAAGGCAAGAAGGAGTACCTATTAAGGTAGCAAGGCTATTCGCCTAAATGGGACTCGTAGGAAGCTAAAGGTTCTTTTAAAGATATAACTAAGTTATTAGATAAGTATTAGACTAGTGCAAAGAACAAGAAGAAGGCTAAGGGCCTATAGTGTCGCCTAGGAACAATGCTACCCCCGGGGTGCTATTAGCTAACTAATTAGAGGCCGGCAAACTAGGACAATAAGACTACACTACTATAGTAAACGCGTACCGAGTGTTAACAAGCGCGCTATAACGCGCCAACTATCCGCTACTCTTTTAGGAAACTGCCTCTCTACTAACGCGCCTTATAGGGCCCTTCTCCTAGTATTTAGGTCCCCCTCTTGTTCCCTTATTCTATCGAGGCCTCGAGGCCTAGGTAATCGGCGAGGACGGCGCGGCCGGCGCGGCTATATTAGTAACAGTATTACAGAGTATATTACTATTAAGAAAGGACAGACACGGCTATATTAGTAATAGTATTGCCGAGTTATTATTAGTTAAAGAAGGAAGTTAGAAGAAGGTGAAGTTAGCGCTAAGACGACTAGCGCTACTATTGTTAAACATTACCTACTATTGCTACTATACTTATAAAGACAACCTTACCTATACTACGAGCCTAAGGTACCTTTAATTAAAACTTTAATCAAAACTTTAAGGCCGAGTCAAAACTTTAACTAAGTTAAAAGATTAAGCGACTAATAGACTAACTAAGGGCAAAAACTATAGAGCTAAGCTAGCTAGGGTCGATCTTACGGATAATAGGTTACTTCTCGATCTTTCCGACCCTTTAAGCGAGGCGAACCTTAACTATTACACTTATAATAGCCTTTACCTATAGAAACTAGAAGAACTGAGTTTTTTAAAAAGATATAATTAGTTAACACTTAAAGGCTGCTAAACCTAACTAATTTGGGCTAGTAAAACTACGATAGTAAATAATAACCCTCGGAAGCGGATAAACCCTCGAGAGCGGACATTGCTAGGTCTTTTAAGAGTAGACGTAAAGAACTCGGTACGACATTACTTAGAGCGGAGGCAGGGCTACAATACCTCGTACGCCTATCTATTATAGTAGAGAAGACGCGCTCGTATTATAATTAGTCGAAGGCCCTTAATTCTTATAGATACATATTACTTTATAGTTTATTATATATAGGGATAGCGCAGTTAGAGTTAGACATTGTGCTATATAGGAGGTAAGGTTTGACATAGTTATATAATCGGTAGTTATACGTTTAATTTAGCGCAGACTAAGCGGCTTATTAGACCTACTAAGTTAGTAGTAATAGAGGTTAAGACTAGAACAAAGACTAGCTACGAGGGCGCGGCCTTTAGAAGGGAAGCGTATGTTAGGACTAAAGAGGTTATATATAATTGGCATATAACCGGGCTCGAGTGAAGCTAGGGTCTTAATGCCTTAGGCAGGGCTTGGCGCTTAGCAATAGGCTAACTTGCCTACCTTCCTCCCTCTCCTCCTAGCTCCTTATCGAATACTACTTGTACCTACTACTACCCTATCTACCTACTAACATACCCTTCTTATAAGATATCTACGGTCTTATAGGAGTATATATAGGCCCGGCGTTTTGTACCTACTATAATAGATTCTTCGGTATAAAGATTAGGCATAGGCCTCTACGTTCGATATATCTCGCTTTAAATTTGTTTCGATATATTATATACTAGCCTATTTACTAGGTAAACTATTCCTTAGGACCTCCGGAACGGTATAGAACTAGTAATAGTACTTACTAACCGTAGTCGAGCGTATATTCGCTAGAATATCCCTAAGCCGCTCGAATGTATCTTACTATATATAGCGTCCTATTATATAGATACGAGCTATATATATAGCGAGTTTATACTACTCTTTCCGCCCTAGATAACAAGTCGCCGATTTCTACGCACAATCGGCGGCTCACGTGCCCTGCTTCACCTTATGTTTCTGAAGCCCATCAACATTTCCAACCAGAGATTGCTGAGCGCTTCCCTTGGCAGACTCCAGTGGTTCTACAATGAATTCTTGTCACATCAAGGGCCCGAGCGTTGGACCGAGCGGCTCCCGCTGGCGTCGAGATCACCACTGCATTCGACTCTAGAAACTCATTCTCCACGAGACCAATGATGCTCGGCTCGAGCATCCCAACCTTAAGCTTACTGCGAGAGAGGAACTCTCCTGGTGCAAGCTGGAGACAGATTAATGTTGGACTCGGGAATGATCATGTACCGATCTGATTGGTGCTTTACTGTATGCGACGCAATTTCCCCTCGGTACCGCTATCAGCTGTCTCTGGTTGCATTGTATCCGATGGTAGCCACTCCGGCGCCAGCTTCTACTGCCGGGTCGACAAGGACAGTCAGCACTCGGCCGGTCACATCGGACGTCAGATCCTGCAATTTGTCGCCCCAAGAGTTGTACACTCTGCCAATAACCTGGCCTTCCTCCACATCATCAAGCACGCCTACATCCATCTCCACCCATCCGCTGTATGCCACACTTGGACCAGAGAAATTCGTGGCAATGAACGTCTCTGACAAATTGGACAGAGCTGTATCGCCATTCGTCATCTGCAAGTCGTCCATTAACCGGAATGCAAAGTCCACAGTTCGCTGTATGAGGGTCTGATTCCAGAGATTCGCTGGCCCAGTTTCGACAGTAATCGCAGGAACCCCAGCTTGCACCCAAGTGGTCTCAATAGATCCCGGTTCCCCAGCATCGATCTTGATCATATCCGGAGCCAGCAACTCAGCAATACGCTGCACACCAGGAGCAGCATAATCGGCATAGCACCAGAGTGGACCATTGGATCCTGTCGACAGCGTGTGAAAATCAACCGCAACATCGACATTCGAGGTATTTCCCCAGACATTATTCCAGATCGCGGCGGTATACGACTGGACCAAGCTCCCACCATCCTCGATCCTCTCCCCAGGGAAATTCCTGTTGAGATCGACAAAAAACCCATTCGAAGAACTCGTGAAAAAATTCCTCTGATTCAAAAAATTCCCCTGCGGATTCTGAGTCGGGAGACCAATCACAGTCCCATGAAACCCTCCGGCCGCCACAGTCTCATTCAAGCCCGCAAAAATCTTCTGGACAATCGCCACCGGGTTCAGTTCATCTCCATGTATCGAAGCTGAGAAGGACAACTTCCTCCCAAAATTCGAAGACTCTTCCGTTCCCCGAGCCACAAAAATCGGAAGAAAAAAGGCTAGTCCTCCCTGTCCTGCACCCGGAGATATCCAGAATCTTGAAATGGTGTTGTAAGGGACATCGGTGATGTCTAATTGCGAAATGACCGGGTAGCCTTGTAATGTATCGCCGGTGTAAATTGTCTTTGCGAGACTGGTCCCGGCCGTCAAGATTGTGAGTAGGATTGTGGAAGTTGTTAGAAGGATCATGTTTTCTCGTGTCCGCTGGCCGGCTTTCGCTTGGAATTGAGAGGAGGAAAGTAGTCGGATTTTATAGTGGCTGTGAAGCGTGCACGCCAAGTGATAGGACGACTGCACTAGGAAGTCGACAAGAAAGGCCAAGACGTTCTACGGAGGAACGGTAATCGCTAGCGATGCTGGAATGAAGTCAGCCCTACGCGCTATGCTATCAGGAATTTTAGGAACACGTTGGGTTATTGATATTGGTAAGAGTTAGCAATTCACACTGCTTTGACGACTTCGGACTCCGTGGAGCTGGCGGAGTTTGATGGCATAACTTGACTACCATACTGTAGGATCCCATCAATTGCCGAAGTTCATCCCTGCCAAGGCCAACAAGAATGACAAGAATGACTCGGAACTTGTGATGGATGCATTGAGCTTCCGTCCAGCCCATATGGGGTCGCAGAGCAGCGGACTTCGCCAAAGGCCAGCAGCGGCCGGCATTCGAATAGCAATCACGCGTATCTCGAAAGCCGCGAGAGACAAGGTATCCGCCGCCACGATGCATCATCTTCTCCAGAATTCATCGTTTAGAACGGTCCATAGACGTCTGATCATTACTAACGAATCCTGTTCGGAATTTCCTTTCCACGAGATGGATCTACTGCCTCGACTGATATGAAAAGCCAGGAGCTAGAAGCGGCTGCAATCGGGAGTGAGCTGTAGCACCACCAGATACATATCTGTCGAGCACTGTGAATGGATGGCTGCTTGGAAGTAGCAATCAATTGATAGCTTAAGAGTTTTCTTGGGGGATTTTGATGAAGATGTCGTAAATTTTATATAGGTCGCGATGAGAGGTCTCTCTCCATGTCGAATACTTTGAGCATGGAGCATTTCCAGGAGGAGTTTCGGTGGCAGGTTGGGAAGACGGTTAGCAGCAGCAGTAGCTATAGGTTTTTTCTTCTTACAGTCGAGGGAAGAGTCCTGGATTTCTAATGCGGAACGTGGCCCCTCGCCGTCCGGTATGCTGTGTCCAAGGGAATATGGTGACTGAGAAGAGAGAAGGTGCGCTTCTACAGCAGATGAGATTCGGGTTGCGGTTGTGTGAGTTTCATGGCATTCATACGCCATCGGGATGCCGATGGAGCTGATTCGTTGTGCATAGCCAGCTTTATTGCGCCAAGCTCTCAAGCAGTCCATTCTGATATGCGAAGACGATCGAACTAGTCAGAGCCTTCGCTTGCATGATACCACTCGAGCTGTTCTTCGACAACTCCTCTCCCAGCCAAGTCGAAAGGACGTCACCTGCCTTGTGCAAAAGCTGGCTTCCATGATTCTGCAGTCGAAGATCCTCCGCCACACGTGCGGAGCCTCGAACGACTTCGAAGATATAGCCGACGATGTAGGGGAGTTCATACTCATTTTCGATCCAATTCGAGCCGAAATAATTCACCATCTGCGCATGCAAGTGTGTTTGAAGGGTACCGAGAAGCTTCCAGCCGCGGAAGTGCATGTCGAAGTAGTTGAATAGGAGGTGAAGTTCTTCGCCGGCAACACTCTCCCGCACGATCTGTAAGGTCTGAATGGCAGTGAAGTGCTGCTGAGCAAGAACTTCCTTAGAGAAGGCTTGTAGATCGATGGACGGTGGCGCTACACGTTCGGCTTTGGTAGCAACTGCTAGCATTGCAACAAGCTTGGGTCTCGTGAGTGCGGCAGTCTCGTTCCGGACGTATCTTGACTCAAAAGCATCGCGCACAGGTGTGGTCGTCTTGAGGCCTCGTGGGCCTCTCTTCGACTCAACAATAATAGAGCGGCCTCCGGCACGACGATTACGAGCAAAGTTTACTGCGCTGCCGCCGAGAGCCAGGAGAAAGCGCTTGTGGTACTCTGAGGGCTCTGTGGGAGGAGCGCCGACGAAAAGACGTTTGGCGGTGTGGAGCTGTAGCAAATATTCCATATCCTTCCAAGTCAAGTCGATCTAAGCATTATCAAAGCAGTCAGCTATTCCCTCCTCCCTCACTCCGAATCTTCGTCTGAATCAACTTACATCAGTGCTCTGGCGAACAGCATTGTAGAGATGAGCGGGATACAAGACCGAGCCCCACGCGTTACAAAGTGTGATACCAACGTCTTGAAGCTGGAGATTAAGATTGAAGACCATGAGACCTGCAAGGACTGGGTGGTTTTTCAGGAGATGAAATGGTTGCGGCTTGACTTCAGCGCCGGGGCCTGAGACAGGGACTTTTGCAAGCATGTCGGATAGAACCCAGTTTTTTGCTTGAGAGCTCAACATTCGTAGGTATTCATCGTTCTGAGGAGACCAAGTCTCGATGAACTTGTGGCGAGATAGCCGGAAGTATTCGTCAATCGTATCGACCACCCGCTTTGCTGTATGAAGTGTTATTGTTAGCGCATCCTTCTGGGTTAGAGGGTAGTACACAGCTCAGCGTCGTCCGCCATTTTCTCATACGATGTTGTCGCTGATAGCGCGAAGATCTGCGCCATTTCACTTACCGGTACCTTGCAATTGGCTGAAGGGCCGTGAGGCGTGCTCACGTAAGACGTGATGAATGTCGAGCAATATCTCGAAACAGAATATCGCATACATTGGAAGTGCTTCGGCCTTGCAAGCATCCATCATCTTGCGGAGACCCGCTGTGAGTTCATCCTGTGCCGGCACGTAGGCGCTTGTGCGTGAAATTCTCACGAACTCGGGTAGGAGTTCCATCGTGACAATCAAGTCCTACACAGATCAGCGACTCTCCTACGAGCAAATGAATGATAAAATTTAACAGACCTCACGCTCTTGCTCTTTGTCTGAGAGCTTTGTTCTGTCTCGTCTGGGCTCATAGACGCCGTAATGGCCAGGTCTCAAGACCGGCACACGATGAGGATGAAGGACATCAGCAAAGTTCGCAAGCCAACTAGAGGTGCTCATGCAAGCCCACTCAGGCACTTTCCGGGGATCGCCGCCAATGGCATCTACCAAAAATGCCAATAGCAAGAGATAGTCCGGACTGCCTTTCAGACCAAATGCCTCGAGCATATCGGTGGGAAGGGTCTGTCTCATAGCATGAAATTCTGGTGAAGAGATCAGCTCGTTGCAGCTACGTTTGACCATGTTGAATGCCGTATCAGTCGTGACAGCGGCACTCATGATGTCCACATTTCCACAGCGATAGTCTAGCCACAAGGCCTGGACATGCTTCCGCAAGGCTTGGAGGTCTTCGAAGAATGCGAAAATGGCCAAAACGTGGTCAAAATCGTCGGGCTCGGGCTCGCAATCAGCATCGACCAGTGGCTTCTGCTTGGCTTGAGGCTCGGTAGCCTCAGACTGCAATTCTTCCACGTTCAATGCCTCGAATAGATTCGTCAGCTCCGTGGCATCGGAGGCGTTTGGCGCGGCATTTCCTGGACTCAGAGTGCGGAGAACATCCTCAAGAATGGAGATAAAGTGCTGGTGACCTTCGTTTTTGATCTCATCTGCAGGACGACGTCTGACCGTTCATTAGAAGTGTCGATGACGATCAATGACAAGTCTCCATTCACCTAGTCGCAGTGATTTTCTTGAAAAACTGGGCGGCTCGTTTGCGCAAGGTTATGACATCCCGCAGAAGCGAGAGGATTGCTCGAGGAACGCGAATCTTGGGATCAGTAGAGGCGGAGATGGCCTCTGCCATTGGCTTGTATCTGTGGTGAGAGCAGCAGCATCAGCGAATCGTAGTCATGTGAGTGAATGGCTGGCATGAAGTCTTGCCAAGAATGCACAGGCTACACTCACTGATTCACGGCAATGATGTACTTTGGCTTGCCGGCCTTCGCGGCTGCTGGCGGTGATGTGCTTGGCAGGTCTACTTCGGCTTTGCATCGAAGAGCGTTGTCGACGAGCCATGTCGTGACTTTCGTTGTGCCGGCTTTGTAGCTTTTGTAAGTGTTGTTGTGAGCCATGTCTGGGCCTTGTATGTCGTCGATGCAGCTCTTGATTATGGTCGAACAACAGGACGGCAACAATGTGCTCGCATAAGTTGGGGTGTAAAGGGGTAGAAGATTGAAATGCAGGGTACTGTGGGCGATTCTCAATGCGGCTAGCCTGGTGACGCCATTGCCGCGCTCGATCGCCAGGAACCGCGATGGCGATTGCGATGGCGGCATTTTCTTGAAAGCAAAGCGTAGCGTGAGAAGACGAATAGCAACTATGACTCCAACAATACTTCCTTTGTAACACCTACACACGTTTCTTAAGTGCCACTCTTCTCTACTCAGATCTTCCTATTCCCCTACACACATTCTTCCTTTCAGCAAATCCTCTCAGCATGCCTACCAGTGCCAGAGACATCCCAGTCCGCAATGCCGACCACAACAACCTGCAGCGAACCGTCTCTAGCTCATTTGGAGCTGCAGACGCATTGTCGACCAGCCCAGTCCTGACCTTCCACAGCCCTCAGAACAGCTACAGTGGCCCGCCGAAGGCCTCCGCCAAACAATTGAAGCCTTTCCAGACGACCGACATCAAGGTGCTACTGCTGGAGAATGTGAACTTGACCGGACAAGATATCTTGAAAAAGCAGGGATATCAAGTGGAGGCACTGAAGAGCTCGCTTCCAGAAGACCAGCTCATTGAGAAGATTCAACATGTGCATGTTATTGGTATCCGCTCGAAGACGCATCTCTCAGCGAATGTGCTCAAGCACGCCAAGAACCTGATCGTGATCGGCTGCTTTTGCATCGGAACAAATCAGGTCGACCTCCAGTATGCTGCAGAGCAAGGTATTGCTGTCTTCAACTCGCCATTCAGCAACTCGCGCTCCGTTGCAGAGATGATGATTGGTGAGATCATCACTTTGGCAAGGCAGATCAGCGATCGCAGCATGGAGATGCACAATGGTGTGTGGAACAAAGTCTCATCTGGCTGCTGGGAAGTAAGAGGAAAGACGCTTGGTATTGTTGGATATGGACATGTTGGTGCACAGCTCTCGGTGCTCGCTGAATCACTGGGCATGAAGGTCATCTACTATGATGTCGTAAACCTCATGGGCCTGGGCACAGCACAGCAAGTGCCATCTCTTCAAGCACTCCTTCAAGGTGCCGATTTTGTGACACTTCACGTGCCTGAGCTTGATGAGACCAAGAACATGGTCGGCGAGAAGGAGTTGGAGCTGATGAGGAATGGCGCATACCTGTTGAACGCCTCAAGAGGAAGTGTCGTCGACATTCCTGCGCTCATAAAATACATGCAAAACGGCAAGCTTGCAGGTGCGGCACTCGACGTCTATCCGAATGAACCAGGCAAGAATGGTGAGAACTTCAACGCACAGCTGAACGACTGGGCCCAACAATTACGTGGGCTCAAGAACCTGATCCTCACACCGCACATCGGAGGCTCAACAGAAGAGGCACAATCTGCAATTGGCGTCGAGGTGGCAGAAGCTCTCGCTAACTACGTGAACTTCGGTACCACCGCGGGCGCTGTCAACATGCCAGAGGTCACTCTCCGATCATTGACCATCGAGGAGCCCAACCACGCTCGTGTCATTTACATCCACAAGAACGTTCCTGGTGTGCTCCGAAAGGTTAACGAGGTATTGGGAGACCACAACGTCGACAAGCAGATGACCGATTCGAGAGGCGATGTTGCATACCTCATGGCTGATATCTCGAATGTGAATGTCAGCGATATCAAGGGCTTGTACGAAAAGCTGGAGGATCTGGGAAGCCGGATCAGGACCAGAGTGCTCTACTAAGCTCCGGCATCAACAATGCGAGTTTTGCATGTCTTGGATGGTGTTGACTAAAAGGATACAACGGTGCTTGGTGGGATAGTCGATAGACAAGATACCTATGCATTCAACATGGCGTTTTTTAAAATATGAATTACTGTTGCTGGTGATTGTTTCAATTGCATTGAGAATGCACAAATCTTATCAGGGTTGTGAACAGGAGATCGCGACTCTCTGCAAATTCACAAGTGAGATGAAAGTGATTGCTGCTTTCTTTGTGAAGAAGAGCCTTAGGGTTGTTGCCTTGCTTACTTATCGATAAGCTTTAGCACATGCCGCAGCTGTGATGAACCTGGCCCGCACTTCTCAAAGCTTCATAAGTTCATATTCCACACTTCTCGCGACACAGACACCCTCGAGTATCGCACATCCAGGCCGAAATTGCCACATATCATTGAATATCTCGAGAAATCATGGCCGATGTGGAGATGACGGACGCTGCACCAAAAGTCAAGAAGGCGGGACCAAGCACAGGCGATACAGATGGCAAGAAGAGATTCGAAGTGAAGAAGGTATGCAGAAGGAGAAAGATTGTAGTTGAATAGGCGCGCGCCCGCGTACTGATATGATGTGCAGTGGAACGCAGTCGCGCTCTGGGCCTGGGACATCGTTGTTGACAACTGCGCCATCTGCCGCAACCACATCATGGACCTGTGTATCGACTGTCAAGCAAATCAAGCTTCTGCCACGAGCGAGGAGTGTACGGTCGCTTGGGGTATCTGCAACGTATGTCACGCGACACAAAAACCTGGACTTGAAGAAGAGCTTAAACTGACAATCTTCTCTACGCACAGCACGCCTTCCACTTCCACTGCATTTCTCGATGGCTCAAGACACGTCAAGTATGCCCGCTTGACAATCGCGACTGGGAATTTCAGAAGTACGGACGATGAGGGGAGAAAGAAACGCGCAAGAGTTCGAAATCGGGGATGCGATACTATAGACGGCTTCGTGGCAAGAAGAGTGCCTTACAGCCGGGGCGCATGATGATACCATGACTTGCATTGAGGAGCGACAACTGAAGTCGCTGAGATGCTAGCCCAAAGCGCTAGCAGAATATTGAGACCGGTGTCGTACGAACGCCATAACACCACGCTTTATGCTCAAGTTCCATATCTCTCTCTCCTTTCAAATCAAAGCATGACCCTAGCTCACTTTCTTCCCATCCACCTCAATTGTCAAACCCTGAATCCCACTAGACGCCTTCCTCGACGGCAAGAACGGTTGTGGATTCTGGTTGAAGAAAGGCCATTGCGGGACGACGATCAGGAAACAGAGCGCCGTGCCGCCGAGCCCGATATATAGCGTTTGGTAGATATTCTGCGAGATGAAGCCGGCGAGGAATGCGATTGCGCCCACGATAGACAGCAAGCCGTATGTGATGTACTCGGCGAGTTGTTGGCCTTTGAAGTCCTGAAGCCAGGTGTCAGGATGTATATACGAAAGGAAAGGAGCTGGCTGGCTGGCGCAAAACACTTACGATTTCGCCTTCGTAGATTGTGCGGGCTTGCTCGAGGAGGGCGTCCATGGTTGTTTGCGACTTTGCGATGGAGAGGGTGTGTTGTGTTGTGAACGTGGTGCCTGTTGTAGCTGAAGCTGGCGGACGGGGCTAGGCGCGGTTCGCAGAAGCTAAATGCGGATAGGTGACAGGTCGATAAACGCCAAGCTCCATGCAAGACGATACCAGGCTATATAGGCTATTTAGGCACGAATCGTCAACAAGGGAAGAAGAAGTAGGTTCCTTGTCGCCGAAATCGGATTTTGTGTCATTATCGCTGGGATGTCTTGCATCGGCATGCGACGGCATCGTGAGTGAAGCGGGCACATCGCACGTCGTGAATCGATCAAGCTTTTTCATCCTTGAAGCGGAGACTTTAACTCTTTCTTTCTTCCCCAACGACACCGCTCGTTTCTCTGCAGAACACTCAACCAATCGACACCACCAGTCTCTTGGAATATCTTTGGACTCAATGCTGCGCAGTCATTGACTAACCGACCTCTGTCAAAACAACCCGACGCCGAAACTGGCTGATCTTGCTGAGGCATTTTCCACTCCGCACCGCACAAACGACGCTCGCGATAGCGGCTACCATACATACAACACCACCAAGTTGGCGGGGCCTAAAGATCTAGCCTTCTCTCACATCCGACCTCTGCTCGGACCAGTTTGGTTCGTGTACGGGGGAGACGTCAAGCAACCTCCATAACTGCGCCGACCGAGCACCCCACCAGATTGCGACAAACGCAGTCATAGATCATACAGCGAACAAAACTAGAACCGATGGGCTAAATAGCAGGATCCGAGATCGGGTTGCGAGCGTTTAGGGATATACCGGAGTAGGAGGACTCTTTTCCAGACCAGGGAACATCGTACCTTGCGCCAAGTCACTCAACAGCGTTGAAACAATATCACAAAAACAAAGAGAACTTGTACCACAAACACCGTCACAATGCACACTCCGCGTTCTGAGGTGTCGCAGACGCGATACAGCACGCCCGAGCCGGACTTGGACGACCACCGATTTCAACCAGAAAGTCTGCCTCCTGCAAACGATGGCTACCTCAACCAGGGACGCCGAGGTACTCTGGCTAGCATTGTGGATGGAGAGCAGAGACCACCAGTGCCTAGACTGACTCTGCCGACTGGCGTTGAGGTCCAGGGCTCTATCGCACGAGACTTTGAGCAGGCGATCGAAGATGACGAAAGAAGTATCAAGAGCAGCAACTCTCGCCGCTCAGCAGGAAAGTTGCGATCTCCGGACGAGGATTGGCATCGCGAGCGAAGAGGCACTGCAGAGCGACGAGGCTCGGTTAGTCCGATCGCTGCGAGACGTACCACATTTCGACGACCAGCACACAATCGAGGCGACAATGACTCCATCCGATCCAATGCCTCGTCGGACCACTCGACTTCGCCACCAAATTCTGTAGACGCATTTGCGCCGGGCCCAAGACGTGGTAGATCTGGCACAGTCAACAGCAGAGCGCCATCCGCGCAGGCTTCGCTCCATCGCACTGTCTCCGTCAAGTCGAAGAGGCGACCAACATTCGGCGAAGATGATGCTGGTCGCATGCGCTCTGATGTTGCATCTCGACGAAGCTCGGCCGCAGAGGACGTTTGCTTTCCTCCCGAAGAGCCACCGAACACATACACAATTGACTTCGAGGATCTGGAGGAGTTTGTATCGCAAACGCACACCAAGACTCCCGTCGCACATCCTTTCATGCCAAAGTTTACCAAGGAGACTGTGCCCAAGAAGCGCATCTTTCCTTCTCGCGACGGCTATTTGACATCAGGAGGCCAGCCAGATGACTATTTTGTGGATGCTGAAAGGGATGCAAATGTCGCTCAGACCGACGGGAATGAGAAGCAGACTGATCCTGACTCTGATGAAGTCCTTCGTCAGACCGAGGGCACGATCGAGCAGCCACTCAACCGATGGACCTTCTTCTCATCTGAGATTGATGAGACCATTCATGCACCTGAGCTTGGTGGTCTCTTGATGCCTGGCGAGACTTTCCGCGACCTTTTCGAGCTTGGTCCTGAAGGCGGTGTCTGGTGGCTTGACATGCTCAACCCATCCGAGGAGGAAATCTCCACCATCTGCAGCGCCTTCCGTGTCCATCCCTTGACTCGCGAGGATATCACTACACAAGAAACGCGTGAGAAGGTTGAGCTGTTCAGAACGTACTACTTCCTGTGCTTCCGCAGCTTCTACGCATTGGACAAGACCAGCGATGACTACCTCGAGCCAATCAACGTCTATGCTGTCGTCTTCAGAGAGGGACTGCTTACTTTCTCTTTCTGCCCAAACACTCACGCCACAAATGTCCGCAAGCGTATCGGTCGACTTCGTGACTACGTCAACCTCTCATCCGACTGGGTCTGCTACGCCTTGATTGACGAGATCGTTGACTCCTTCGCTCCTGTACTGCGCGAGCTTGAGACAGAAACCGACACGATTGAAGACTCCGTTTTCACCGCCCGCTTCGAAGACTCCCGCGCAATGCTTCAAGGCATCGGCGACTGTCGCAAGCGCATCATGGCCCTGACCCGACTCCTCGGCGGCAAAGCGGATGTCATCAAGAGCTTTGCCAAAAAATGCAATGAAGCCTACGCAGTCGCTCCCCGCGGCGACGTCGCTCTCTACCTTTCTGACGTCCAAGATCACATCGTCACCATGATGTCCAATCTCGGTCACTTTGAAAAAATGCTCAGTCGGAGCCATACCAACCACTTGACACAAATCACGCTTCAACATACCGAGCAAGGTTCGCGTGCCAACGAGTTGTTGGGCAAGATTACGGTTCTGGCTACGATTCTGGTTCCTATGAATTTGATCGCTGGTCTTTTTGGCATGAATGTTCATGTTCCTGGTCAGGGTGTGCCTGGATATGGATGGTGGTTTGGGATTATCGGGGTTGTGCTTACGCTTGCTATTTGTTGTGTTACGCTTGCTAAGAGGTTGAGGTTCATATGACGGCCGAAGCGAAGGAGGAGGAGGGTAATGATTGCGTTTGGGGATGGAATGGCTTTCTTTTTTCTTTCTGTTTGTTGACTGTACGTACGGTGTGATTGATGATCGATTATGTGTCTTCAGTGTTTTGTAGAATTTGTGGTTACAGTACATAGTGACGGCCGAGCATTCTTGTGGCTACATGTACATTTCTCGCAGTATTTCAATTTTCAGCAGCAGAATGAGGCTAGTGCTAAACTTCTCTAGGACCATCCCGAGCCGCACGGGATGTCGCTTTCTGGGGTGCATGCATGACTCAGCATGAGCTTCCGAGGTGGAGCTCTCTCGTGTTCAAGAAAGCTCCAAAACGTGAGCGCAGAATAGCCATACCATCTCTCACTCTTCCTCTTCCTCCTCCCTCCTCAATGATGGCAACCGCAATACGACGCCCTCTCCGACCTTCCCTCCTACTCCACCAACCCCTCAAACAACCCCAATCCCACCGCCGCCATACCTCCTCCTCCACTCCAGACTTCTCCCACCTCAAAACCCGTCTCATCTCCCCCATCTTCTCAACCCTCACTCCCGACCCCTCCTACCGCCTCCAAACCACCCTCGCCGACTTCCTCCCACACGACTCGAATCCTCCACCTCTAACCCTACCTCATCCCCAAAAACCTTGGGACCTCCCACCCGCTCATCACCTCTTATACTTCGAACCCACGAAACGTTCTTCAGAAATGTTACCCGATGGCACGAATCCTGATCATTTCCCTGGAGAACCTTTTGTCAAGAGGATGTGGGCTGGTGGGAAAGTTTTATACGATAATGCGAAACCGTTGAGATTGGATGGTGGGGTGGGAGTTTGTGGGGAGTTTGTGAGAGATGTTAAGATGAAAGGGAAAGAAGAAGAAGAGGGGAAGCAGAAGGTTTTTGTGGAAATCGAGAGGAGGATCGCGAGGGCTAGTCCTGAGGAAATTCTCGGGTTGGGGGATGCGGATGTGGATGAGCGGAAGAAAAAGGCTTTGGAACATAGGGTCCGACAGAGGTTGTGGAGGGATGGGGAGGAGGAATTTGGACCGTGCAAGATTTTGGAGAGGAGGGTGATTGTTTTTATGCGAAACAAGAAGACGAATACGAGGACAAAAGAAGGAGAGGGAGGGAAGGTTTTGAAATCTGAATACTCCTCCTCCCCAGATTTCACACACACCCTCATCCCAACCCCCTCCCTCCTCTTCCGCTTCAGCGCTCTAACCTTCAACTCCCACGCCATCCATCTCGACCCTTCGTATACAAAAAACATCGAAGGACACCCAAAACTTCTGGTTCAGGGGCCTTTATCTTTGACGTTTCTGATAACGTTGTTATCCCGACATTTGGCGAAAGAGGGGGGCAATCAAGTAATGCAGAGTATTGAGTATAGGAATCTTGCGGCGTTGTATTGTGGGGAGGAAGTTAGGTTTTGTGGGAAGGAAATTGGGGAGAAGAAGTGGGAGGTTTGGGCGGAGGATGAGCAAGGTGGGGTTGCGGTTAGGGGGAGGGTTAGGACTGAAGAGGGGAGGGGATAGGTGGTGTAGGGATGTGGTTTGAGGAGGTGGGAAATGGGAAGGACGAAGAGGAATGAAGGTTATGAGGAGCTGAAATGGGTAGTAGGAAGATCAATGAAGGTTGTGAGGGGTGGATGAATGAATGCATATATGCACAGCACTTTGGGTGAGGATGAACAGCACTTCGCCATTGAAGGCCCACTCCACCAGCAACGAACAGAACACCAGGCTGTATAGCAATCAACAAAGTCTCAACATCGTCTACAATCCACCTCCCTCCCACCAAGCTCACCAAACAATCCAACCACCACCCACCGAAGATTTAATTTCTCATATCCCCAACTTCTCCTTCGGCACAAAATTAAACCCCGTACTAACCAAGGCCAGCCCCGAACTCACCCCAATAAGCCCCCAATCCACCACTTTCTGCCTATACGACAACTCCTTCCCAAAAAGCTTCAAATGAAACGCACAAGGCAAAATCAAACAAATTGTAAAACAAGCCACCGCGCCCAGCAAACTCATAATCGTATCGAATTCCGGGACTAAAATCGCCAGCAGGACGAAAGCGATAATGCAGAAAACTCGGACTGAAATTTTTGCGATTCCGCGTGTGAGACCCGAACAGCCGTGGGTTGGTTCGCCGCCAGATCCCATTGCTCGTGCGTCGAGGCCGAGGAAGAGGTCGAGGGTGGAGATTATGGGGCGCGCGTTGAGGGGGACTTTGGTGAGGGGGATGATTGCGATGCAGATGACAATAAAGACGGAGAGGAAAGCTGGGTAGCCGTTTTCCATCAGGATGTTTCGGGTGACTTCGTCTTTTACTCCGTCGCCGAACATGAGGAGGCCGATGACTGCCATGAGGAGATCGAGGGTGAAGGTGAAGATGTAGGTGATGTTGACGCCACGACGGTATTTGTATGGGTGTCGCATGTCGCGGTAGATGTTGGGGAATACGCTGTGGCCGCCCCAGGGAGACATGAGGATTCCGAAAGAGATGGGGAGTGTCATCCAGTTTTCGGGGAAGAGGTAGGTTTTTGCTGGTTCGCGGAGAGAGCCGGGCGCGTGGGGTTTTATTAGGCCGTCGATGAGGACTGCGAGGACGATGCCGAAGCAGCAGAGAATTCCGAGGATGGAGGTGAAGGATAGGTAGCGGAGGGGGACGAAGGAGAGGGGAATGAGGATTATGCCGCAGATTATCTTCCATTCCGTTATGCCTAGAGATTGTTCGGTTAAGGCGTCGAGGGAGTCGGAGAAGAGGACAATGAGCGCTACGCATGCTGCGACCAGTTCGAGGACGAAGATGATGGAGGTTCCCACTCGTGCCCATGGCCCGAAGGAGACGTATGCGAGATCGGCGAACGTGATGAGGCTGTTGTCGACATCGGCACATTTGGCGAGGAGCTTGGCTGTGTAGCAGGTTGAGATTCCGGCAAAGAAAAAGAAGATCAGGCCTGGAATCCAACCTGCGTATTTCATCGCCAGAGGTAAGGCGAGGAGACCGACTCCAATCAGAACATTGACGGAATTGAAGATGGTCTGTGGCAAGGTGGACTGACCGACGACCACGTTGACGATGGTGCCATCATCTTCCTCCACGCGCTTCACCATCAGCGGTTCACGTTCCTTGTCTGATATGGCTTGCCCACCACGGATCTGCTGTTGTCGAAACAGACGCCCTGCATGTCGCATACTCGATTCATTGACTCTGGACGACAACGATCCCCAGGTACTGCCATAGCTTCCACCAAATGGACTCGCTAATGAGGGCTCGATCAAGAATATGCTATCATCAGCAGGTGTTCGGGAGGTGATTTTCTGCAGCAAAGGCTGATCTTCGCTGGCTGCCGTGGTGTGGGATTGTCGTTCGCGGGTTGTAACACGCGACAATCGAGGAGGTATCATCTCTTCGTGCTCATCATCAATGGCCTGGTCCACTCTGTCCTGTGCTTCCAGTTGTTGTCTCAGCAGTGATCTGTGCTGTTTCGGTGTCGGGTCTAGCGCGTCATCACCTCCTTCAATCGTGTCGTCCTCCGCGTATCTGAAGCTTGGTCGTACAGGCGTGACCTCGTGAAAGCCAACGGCTCTTTGCCATGAAGCAGCGAAGTTTCCCAAGCTGTTTACACCACCCGCGTCTCTGATGGCGTCGATCGCCATTCCCATACTAGATCTTCTCCGGCGCACTTGATGTGTGCCAGTCTCATAGGCCGATGGCGCGTGGAGGTGTTCGGCATCGGACGATTCATGATGCTCTTCAGTCCTCGCATCGAAAGCTATGCGGTTCGTGGAATCTGGCGAATCTCCTCTGCCACGCTCATATGCCGTCCAGTTGGATGGCAATTGGCCTCTTTGCGAGGGCATTGTTGCTTTCCTTGCTCACTTCTCCCAACTCTTCGATCTGCTGTGTCGGTGTCGGTGAGCAAGGTTGTGGGAGCTGTTGAAGCTCTCTCCGCTCCGGTCGAAGCTTACAGCCAGGTTTATGGCTGTTCAGTGCAAGATGAAGAGATTTGCTACAGGCGAGATAGGTTGCACCACATATGGAATAAGGTAATGGAGAAGTGGATCCAGGATGGAGGCGTGCAAATTAATAGCAAAATGAATAGCAGAGGTGTGGTCGGAGAGAGGTACCTTATCTGTTGGAGCTAGTCGCTACCTGGTAGATAGAGCAGCGCCTGGACGATTATCATACGGAGCATAGCGTGCGGAAAGCAGAGCGTGCGCGTGCGCGTGCGCGTGAGGAGCAGGTGATGACGGGGATGGTCGGCGAAATTGAATCATTGAATGTCTGGGAGAGAAATAAAGTTTTGAAGCCTGCCGTCTTGCGCAACAGCCACGATATGGCGTTGCAAGTGAATGGGTCCGTGTGGCACATGAAGGCTTGTGAGAGTCTGCGGACTTCACAGTGCAAATGGACTCTGTCTCGTAGTGGAGACGACGTCGGCGCCGAACAGCCTTGCTCGGTGCGGGAGGTGTTTGGTGGCAGGGCAGGGCAGGGCAGGGCAGGGCAGGGCAGGTTAGGCGGGCGGGGGGCGGGCGGCGTGTCGAAAGCGTCACTGGATTTTTCGTGGGCCGCACCAACCGAACGACACACCTGTCACCACCTGCCACTCTCCGCAGTCGAAAGTCGGTCAGGCGCAGGCGCAGCCCATTTTGCTACTCCATCGGCAGACGAGGTGAGTTAGCATCAGCACAACACCACACTGGCCACTCGTGACTCCCACTGCTAGCCTCGCACAGTCATTTGTTGAGCTTCGCACACGTCAGGTGTCCTGCAGCTTTCGCCTCGCTTGCTCGCAGCGCACTGCCGACTGCCTTTGTCCCACCCCATCCTTCACGCCGACCGCACTTCTGCTTCTCCCCATTCTGACTGACACAATACCAACAGTGAGCGAATCGCTCCGCCGCCATCATGTCCTCCCAAAACGAAGCGAACGATGCGGAGAAGAACATCGAGATATGGAAGGTGAAGAAGCTCATCAAAAGATTGGAGCAGGCGCGAGGAAACGGCACCAGCATGATCAGCTTGATCATTCCACCGAAAGATCAGGTTTCGCGAGCCGCGAAGATGTTGGCTGAAGAGTTCGGAACTGCCTCCAACATCAAATCCCGAGTCAACCGTCTTTCCGTCCTTTCCGCCATTACCTCCACACAGCAGCGTCTCAAGCTGTACTCGAAAGTCCCTCCGAACGGCCTGGTGGTCTACTGTGGTGAAATCATCACCAGCGAAGGAAAAGAGCGAAAGATAAATATCGACTTCGAACCATTCAAGCCGATCAACACCTCCTTATATCTCTGTGACAACAAGTTCCACACCGAGGCGCTTAGTGAGCTCTTGGAGTCCGACCAGAAGTTCGGATTTATCATCATGGACGGTAACGGAGCCCTCTTCGGTACACTCTCCGGAAACACCAGAGATGTCATTCAAAAGTTCAGCGTAGATCTGCCCAAGAAGCACGGTCGTGGTGGTCAATCTGCCTTGCGTTTCGCACGTCTGCGAGAAGAGAAGCGTCACAACTACGTCCGAAAGGTTGCCGAGTTGGCCGTGCAGAACTTCATCACTGCCGATAAGGTCAACGTGGCAGGTCTCATCCTTGCTGGATCGGCTGACTTCAAGAACGATCTGAATCAGTCTGATTTGTTCGACCAGCGTCTTCAAGCCAAGGTCATCAAGGTTGTTGATGTATCCTACGGTGGTGAGAACGGCTTCAACCAGGCCATTGAGCTTTCTTCCGAGACTCTGTCCAACGTCAAGTTCATTCAGGAGAAGAAGCTGATCAACAAGTACTTCGATGAGATCAGCCAGGACAGCGGAAAGGTCTGCTACGGTATTGAAGATACTTTGAAGGCACTCGAGGCCGGAGCTTGCGAGACTTTGATCGTCTACGAGAACTTGGAAATGACTCGTTGGATTCTCAAGAACAGCGAAGGCGGCGAAGTTATCCTTCACACTACCAAGGAGCAGGAGAAAGATCGCTCCATTTTCATGGACAAGGATACTGGCCAGGAAATGGACGTGGTCGATTCGCAGGCATTCTTGGAATGGCTTGCCGAAAAGTACCGCGACTTTGGTGCTACTTTGGAATTCGTCTCTGACCGCTCCTCAGAAGGCAACCAGTTCGTACGCGGATTCGGTGGTATTGGCGCCATTCTCCGCTACAAGCTCAACTTTGAGCAACTCAACGCAGATGATGACGAAGATGAGTTCTACGACGATTGACCCTTGGAAACTCTCGCACATGGCGAGGCGCTACGCGGTGATGAAATGACGCCGTTGAAGACCAACACGGTGCCTCCCATGCAGCCCTTAGCGCAGGCTGCACCTGCTACTGCTCCAGCAGCCAACGGAGCAGAAGCGGAAGAAAAGGCGAAGGAGCCGAAGATTGTGAGCAAGAAGCCCGCTTCGTTTGCTCAAAAGGTCATCGCCAAGCAGAGTGCTTCAGCAGCGAAGAACACTAGCCACCGACCAAATGTGAGTTGTGAACTATTTCTAAAATGTTCTGACGCTAATCGCAAAACAGGTCTCTTCGCCACTGAGAGCGGGCATCACAATTTGACATGCCGCGTCGACGACGAACATCGACATGCTCGTGTGCGGCCATCCGACACAGGCCATGACGGCCTTTTGCAAGGACGCACAGCATGCTGATGCCAAGTAAGCAAAGGCATAAAGTGTGATGATGGAATATACGTCACAACAACATGATTCTGGAACTACATGTATGATTGGTTGCGCTGCTTCAGTGATTTCAATTGAGCAAGAGACACTCGTTAAGAGAAATGCTTTGGTCGACATAGTGGAGGAGGATAAGGGATGCATCAGACTGCGGAATATAGCTCGTCGAACTCAATACACTCTTTCAATGAATGCCTCGCGCCCAACTTCCATTTCGCAGTCTTGGCACGGGACCTGCGACCTAAAATTTCCATGCATCTCAAAACGGCAGCAGCCGACTTCACCCGTTCGACTGCGTACAATATACTGCTTTCCAAATCACTCAGCATTTGTCCCTGCTTGAGCACGAGAAGGTCAGACAGCATGGCCTACTGAGTCATCTGCAACGTTCGTGCATGTGCACGCGAAAGTCATCCAGCAACGTCGAAACCTTTGGCTCGAATCTATAGCTCACAATGGATGCTAAATAATCGCTGAACCAAATCACACCTTTGCTGCAGCGACAGCACCTGGCCACTGCGAAGGCTTTGACTTGGAAATTTTTGGAGACCAGATTGAAGACAAGCCCCAGCTCTGGCAATCCACCGCAATGGCCGAAAAACCAGTCATCGCTTTCCTGGGCCCAAAAGCCTCATACACGCATTCAGTAAGAGTATCGATCACAAACACTGGACTGCATTCTGATTCTTGGCCAGGCAGCACTTTCGGCATTTCCAGAAGAACAGTATTCTCTCCAACCCCAGACAAGCATCGAAGACGTCTTCACCTCAGTCCAAAACGGCTCGGCATCAGCAGGCGTGGTCCCATTCGAGAACTCCTCCAATGGCTCCGTAATTTTCACCCTCGACCTCTTCGCCGACCGCGACGGTAAACATCCCGACATCCACATCACAGGCGAAGTCTACGTCTCCGTAAAACACTGTCTCCTCGGCCACATTCCCCCATCTCAAGACCCCAATCAAACCGACAGCGGAAACCCCCTCTCCTCCTCCTCCCCCGAAGAAAAATGGAAACAACCCTGGCGCCGCAGCATAACCTCCACCCCTTCCACCTCCGGAACCGTCACCCCCACCCCTTCCTTCCCCTCCCCAGGAAAATCTCGAACCAAACCCACCCACGATCTCTCACATGTCCAAAAATTATATTCTCATCCCCAGGCTTGGGGACAATGTAAGAATTTCCTCAACACTTACCTCAAAGGCATCGAACGTCAAGACGTCTCGTCAACCTCCAAAGCCGCGGAAATCGTCGCGCAAGACGTGAGTCGTACTTCCGCGGCCATCTCCAGCGCCATCGCGGCGAAATTCAACGCTTTGGCTTTTCTGGCGAAGGGGATTGAGGATGTTGAGGGCAATTCTACGAGGTTTTTCGTGTTGAGGAATAAACATGCCCTCGAGCGGCAGCGGCAGCAACTGCAGCAGCAGCAAGCGGGACATTTGTCTTCTGCTGGCGCTGCTGCTCCTCCTTCATGTTATAAATCTCTGGTGTTATTCACAGTCGATCACAAGCGGTATGGGAGTTTCGCGGACGCTTTGGCGGTGTTTAAGGGCTTTGGGTTGAATTTGACGAGTTGTAATTCGAGGCCTGTTGGGGGAGGGAAGAATGGGGAGGAGGAAATGTGGAGGTATGTGTTTTTTGTGGAGTTTGAATTTGAAGGAGGTGCGGATCGGGAAGGGGATGTGGGGAAGGCGTTGGAGGAGTTGGGGAAGTATACGAAGGGATTGAGACTGGTGGGCACGTGGGAGAGTCAGTTGAAGGAGGGGGAGGAGAAAGAGGAGGAGAAAGAGGAGGAGGTGGTGGTGCTGTAGGAGAAGGGAGAGGAATGGATGGATGGATGGATGGATTGTTGTTCTATGAGTGGATATGCCAGCTGGTCTTGGAAGTATGGATTCCTTCTGAGCAGGAGGGAATAGGTCATGATGAAATCGTAACGAAAAATATGCTCGGATATTACAAGCCGTAGGTTACCATCTTGCTCTTGCGCGTCCAGAGCTGTACCTGGGATGTTCACTCCCACATAAATATCAACACTCCTGTTTGCGCAATCGAGAAAGTTTTCCTGTAGTCTCTCTACAAGAGGATCCGGGCTGTAGATGTACCTTTCAGTCTGTTTCGAGCAGGACCTTTCTTGATCGGAACTGACGCTTCCCCCTCTCTCGAATCGTTCCATTTCCACCCCATCAGCATCGAGGGTGGTAGGTTGCATGCGAAGGCTTGATGCTAGAGCACATCAGAGAGAGGTATCGACGAGAGGCGAGGAGTACACGTATGCCTTGACGGCTATCATGCATCGAGGCTTAGCAGTCATACAGCCAGCAGGCGGCTTCAGCGGGAGCTTGAATGCCATCTCGTCAAGGCGGGACAGGGCTATTTTCGGTAGCAGCTCATTGCACAGTCTGATGTATGGAAATCTCAGAGTCGAATGGCTGATATTCATCGCAAAGCATGTTGAGACTGCAGGAATGATCGTGAAAGGTGGAAGTTGCACGGGTCGCAAAGAATGTGTGACAAAATGAGACGCTTCAGTGATAGAAGAAGGGCATGCTGGCGTGCCAAGATCTCCTCTTCCTCACCGAACTCCGTAGCTGAGAGTCATACCTTACTGAAGGCGCATAGGGTTCTACTGGTCCGCGAAACGATTCTCTCAGCCTGAATGCGCTCTCCAAAGATCTCCCAAACCGCAATCCGTCTCAATACCCAGTCGGTCGCAGTCTTCGCGAGAACTTCTATGCTGACTTCGGAATCGAGTGCTGTCACCCATGGAACAGCATTCGCTTGCGAGCCGCTTGATTTGATGCTCTGCGCTACTCTGCTCGGTGTCCAATAAGAGGCAGCTCGAGTTCTTTGCAGACCGATGAAGCTGTGATAGCGTTGTAGCAGCAAGCGATGGCGACTTGGTCTCAGCAGTACCTGTGTAGCGTGATTTTGAAGCATAAAGTGCTACTGCATTCGATGAATAGCTTTCTATTCCCTTCACGCGGGCTCCGAAAGCTTTAATCGTATTGTGGAGCCATTCGTTCTGCAAATGGTGAGAGATGGGTTGGGGTTATGTCCGGTCATTCACTTCAATCATCATCACTGCTCTCGGCATCATCCTCAAGCCACTTGCTCATGTAGGGACCGTCGAGCCAGTAACCAAGTCGTCGGTAGTAGCCTCTGACACCAACACCAGAGATGATAGCGATCTTCTTACTGCCGTGTTCATCTCGAGCGATGCGCTCGGCTTCCTGCATGAGCAGGGTCCCATAGCCTTGATGCTGGCTCTTGCCCTTGACTCGCTCATGGATAGGTACAGCTGAACCATAGACGTGCAGCTCGCGGACCAGACTTGATGGCTGGCCGACTAGCTCTTCTCGATAGGTGTACTTCTCGCTACACTTTCGCAGTCGCAGCAGTGCAATGAGAATGTCTTGCTTCGGGTCCTCATATGCGAGGAATGTCTCCCACCCACCATTTGCGACATAATCACGTCGCACGAGCTCGACTTGATTCGGTCGTATCTTGTGCTTGACTTCGTTGATACCGACCTCTCTCGTTCGCACATCCCGACAAGTGGTTCCGAAATCCTTCATCCGCGCCAGTGCCAGTTCTCGAAGATTACCATTCTCAACACCAGATGTGACAAGCGGCATCGGAATGTCTCGCTGTACGCGGTATATTCTTGTCCATGGAGGAATGAGCGCGAGTATCCGTGCGACGATATCGATTAGCACATTTGGAGTGTAATTCTTGTATCGTCCTGTGCGCCACAGTTCGTAGAGTCCAGTTCCTCGAATGACGAGAGTAGGATAGATCTTGAGACCATCCGTGCGGAATGCAGGATTTGAGAAGTATTCTTGAAACTGAAAGAGATCGCGTTCGAGACCTACATTGGGCAGATCGGGCATCATGTGCGAGACGACCTTGAAGCCAGCATCCTTGGACTGGCAGAACGTTTCGCAGACTGCCTTCACCGTGTGGCCTCGATTGGTGTCGCGAGCCACATCTTCGTATAAGCTTTGCACACCAACTTCCAGACGAGTACAGCCATATCGCAGCATGTCTGTAAGATGAGGTGGCAGGCAGTAGTCAGGTCTGGTCTCGATGGTGATGCCAACGCATTTTGTCGTACTCTGCTCGCCCGCCATGACAGCTTCATCCACATTCAACGTCGCATATCCAGACAGCGCATTGTGCAGTTGCGAGATGAACTCCTCGCGGTACTTTGGTGAAAGAGACATGAACGTGCCTCCCATGATGATATACTCCACCTTGTCTACGCTGTGGCCGAGATTCCTGATCTGGTCCACACGCCCTCTCGCTTGCTCGAAAGGATCATATCTGGCCCTTATTGCCCGCATCGACGTGGGCTCATATCCAGTATAACTCTGCGTGCTGTACTCGAAGTCCGAATCCGGTCCACCTGGACAGTACACGCAGATATTTCCAGTATATGCAATATGCGGACATCTATGCGGCTTGCACATTACAGCCACAACCGCTATACCACTTGCACTCCGAATCGGCTTTGCGATCAACTTTGGCAAAATGTACTTCTTGTATTGCTCCGGCACTGCAGCAATGATGTCTGTGAGCGGCGGCTGCCTTGACAGAAAGTGCTTCTTGGCAATTTGTCCTCTCAGGCTATTCAAATTGATATCTTTCCGCTGCGCTCCAGGCTGCTGCGACTTCTCGTGATCTTCGACGAGTGCGTTGGCGATGTCCGCACATGCTCGCATATATCGTTCGTTTTCGGGCGCGAGTTTGGCCTTCTCGGCGACAGTCAATTTCTTCTTCTTGATTGACTCGGTATAGACCTCCGTCATGGTCGCCATGCTGTCGGTGGTCAGGTAGGCAGACCTGCTGCTGTGTCGTGGTGTGCCTTGGTCGTTGTCGCGGGAGAACTTTTATGGACCAAGTCATCAATTCCATCATCAAATTGAGGCTGGCGTCGGCTTCAAGGTTGTGAAGTCGGAACAATTCGGGCCGGGGTCTCTTTCCCGAGACACTTGCAGAGCTACAGAGCTCTTTCCTGCTACCATTCTTGTTGATTCCCACTCCGCACTCCACCACCGCCGCCCATCACAAGCTGCGCAGAGCTGCAGCGGAACGAGGGTGACGATGCAATCCCTCCGCCAACCCATCGCCCGTGCGCTCCAGACCGCACCGAAGGGACTGACCCGGAGCGCAACCCCGGCTTGCTATGCTACAATTGCTGCGAAAGATGCTCCAGGCCAGCCTACGGGATATGCAAAAACTGGCTTGAATCTGCGCATCACAAAAGACACCAAGGTCTGCGTGCAGGGCTTTACTGGCAAGCAGGGGACTTTTCACGCAACCCAGGCCATAGAATATGGCACGAACATTGTTGGCGGCACGAACCCGAAGAAGGCCGGCAGTACACATCTCGAAAGACCTGTGGTTGCGAATGTGGAAGAGGCAGTAAAACAACTGGGCGCCGATGCATCATTGATCTTCGTGCCTCCTCCGCTTGCTGCTGGCAGTATCGAGGAAGCTATCAAGGCCGAAATCCCGCTGGTTGTCTGCATTACTGAGGGTATCCCACAACACGACATGGTGCGGATCACGGATATGCTCAAGACACAAGATAAGACGAGACTGGTGGGACCAAATTGCCCGGGTATCATTGCTCCTGTAAGTTTGCGATATTTCTTCTTTGGGAACTTGCCGGATTTGCTTTTTCACATGATGAGACAATTTTATACAACAAAACATGATAGGAAGAGTCTGACCCGTTCTGTGGGCTTGATTACACGTATACACTCTGAGACCACCTGTATCCTTCAACTTCTCAGGAAGCACTCCTTTTGCTGTTGGAAGAGCTTGCAAGCCATGCTAATGCGAGGATTGATAGGGACAATGCAAGATGGGTATCATGCCCGGGTTCATCCACAAGCGCGGCCGCATCGGTATTGTCTCTCGATCTGGTACCCTCACCTACGAAGCCGTCAACCAGACCACACAAGCCGGCCTTGGGCAATCTTTGGTCATCGGTATTGGTGGTGACCCCTTCTCCGGCACAAATTTCATCGACTGCTTGCGCGTCTTTCTCGCAGACGAGGACACCGACGGTATCATCATGATTGGAGAGATCGGTGGATCTGCGGAAGAGGAGGCTGCAGATTTCCTGAAGCAGCACAACACAGGAGGAAAGGACGGTCAGGGCAAGCCAGTGGTCAGCTTCATCGCTGGTATCTCTGCGCCGCCTGGACGAAGAATGGGACACGCTGGTGCGATTGTTGCTGGCGGTAAGGGTGATGCAAACAGCAAGATCACTGCGTTGGAGGGTGCTGGTGTGACTGTAGAGAGGAGCCCTGCTGCCCTTGGAAAGACTCTGAGGGAGCAGTTTATCAAGAGAGATCTGCTATAGATGCGGAATGGAGAAGCATGAGTATGAAAATGAAGGCGCATATACCAATTCCGAAGCTCGGCCAGCTGGGGAGTCTCCTTTGAGGCGCTGTGTACAGGTTCTGCTGTCTTGTGTTTCTCAGTACCCAGGTAGCAGCGTGTATTCCCACAGCATTGTTTGTTCCAGTCGCCTTTCTGGGCAGACCATACCATTCGCCATTTGCGTCGCACAGGGAGTGGCGGGGTGCGTGAAATGCAAGGCTATGTCGCATTCTCACACCTGACCTAAAAAGCTGGCTGAGCCACGCGAGTTCGCAGCTTTCTTCGTTGGACAATCAGCTTGACTTGTCGTGATACGAGAATGTCTGCCGGTGCGCTTTACTCATCATGTCCTTTCACATCGAAGCAACAGATCCGGATTCTGCGGCTCGCACCAGCAGCCGAATTGGACGACGATTTGCGCGGAGAGCTGGAAGTAAGATCATTCAAACGCCTTCCGCCGTATGAGGCCTTATCGTATACGTGGCAGCCACCGTTCGAAGGACAGACCCTGCCAGATGATGTGATATGGTTTTTCGGATATCCGCTTCCCATCACCGGAAACCTAAGCAACGGGCTCCGAAGAGTAAGGCGAGAGGACAAAGAAAGAGTTCTATGGGTCGATGCCATATGTATTGATCAGGACGACTCTCGTGAGCGCAACCACCAGGCGCATATGATGGCCGAAATTTATTCGAAGGCGGTTAGAGTACTTGCATGGCTGGGCGAAGATTCAACTATACGAGACGGCTCATACACACTGACATCACTTGCCGCCTTTGATGCCGATACACCGCCACTCGGCAGCATTGAGAAGTCATTGCGAGATGACAAGGCTTCGCTCGCCAGCGCCTTCGACCGCCAACATGACGAAAAAACTCTACTGCGGACTTTCAATAGCAGAAGATTCTTTCAGCGGCGGTGGATTCTACAGGAACTGATACTGGCGCAAAGCGTCGAAGTAATATGTGGCTCGTTCGCGCTACCATGGAATACCTTCGTTGCTGCTTTAAGTGAGCGATGCAGGTCCAGCCAATTCAGGTCGATATTTGGTCATCCCCTCGACGCCCTGTTCAGTCTGATGCAATCAATTTTGTCAATTCAGGGAGGCTATGCAAAGACCTTCTTCGAAACAATGCGCTATTTCGAAAGCATGGGCTGCGGAGACGATCGAGATCGCATTTGCGCCTTGATGCATATCCGCAACTTCCCAGAGCTTCATAACTTTCATGCAGACTACTCACTCTCGTGTGAGGACTTTTATTCTGCCTTCGCAACATCTGTTCACAGCGCATCTACGAAACGTTTTGCGGAGCTTCTTCGTCTCGCCGCTGTGCAACATAGACAGCATCGACTATCACTTCCGTCCTGGGTTCCAGACTGGAGACTCAGAGTGGGCGATGCGATTGCAGGATGCGTGTCACACAATCGCAACACGTATTACAGCTCCCGATTTACTCATGATCTCGCTGTCATGGAGGACCCTTGGACAGATCAATGCGAGTACATGGTCGAGTGCGACACCACACTCCACGCTCGTATACCACTATACGAAATCACAACAGATCACTTCAATTGTAACTTTTATTGCTCCGCAGAGCACCAGGACAACTACTCGAGGCAATTGATCGTGGGTCCGAGGTTCTGTGTCATAGATTCCCAAAGCTACGGCGAGGGTAAACCTGGGCTAGAACTGGCAACTGTTTTACGCAATCACTATTCGGACCCAGACCGCTATCGGATCGTCGGTGTATATATCTTCGAGCGAGCAGAGCATGCAACGAACCTGAATGCAGAAATGATCAATGTGGTCATTGTATAGCCATTGTGCTGAGGCATCGCGAAAGGAGGAGTTGCTGAGTCAGAACCTTGGCATGGCATCGCGGTATGGAGCTCTGATTGCAGCTTGAAACGTCACGTTAGCTTCCTTCTGCTTCATCGGGATCTCCATCGTTATCAAAGTCGCCATCGAACAGATCTTCACAAGCTCAAGATGTCTGCATACGCTCTCCAGATTCCAGCGGTTCTGCTCTCTTTCGAGCACTTCCTCGGCGGCCAAGCCCGAATTGCCTCGCAGTTGACCCCATCACTCTACAAGCGAGCAGTCATCGACAAAGGGCCAGGTACAGCACAAGCACTGTATCCGGTCATTCCCGTCAAAGATCCCGTGAGGCTATCAAATGTCGTTGGCGCGATGATGGTCACGACTGGGTTCTTGCTTGCTTGGCCGAAAACCCGAGGATCGCTTCTTACGCTGAGCTTGAACACCTTTTTGACTGGAGCTGGCATCTACAGTCAACGAAGAATGAAGATTCCGTATTGGCTGCCGGGTACGAATATGGTTCTTGGAATCCTGGTCTGGTTGATTGAGAATCGTTTGTCGTAATGCATCCACAAACGAAAGCGCGGGTCCACTCTCGGTCGCAAAACAGAACAAAGCCAAACGCAAGATCGACTTTTCCATCTTGAGTCATGCGGAGTTGTTTCGATATTCTTGAGTGGTCTGAAGGAGTATCGAGAGTCGAGACCCTCAACCCACGCACGGTACCTTTTGGGATTGTTTACTCCGCACGTGGCACATCGACGCCAGCCGAAAATGTCTAAGGAGATCTCCTAGCGGGTCCTAGCACCTTGGCTGAAGGAAGATCAGCTCAACTCAAAATTCCGTAATGCTCCACGCTAAACCACATTCCTCCCGTCGCCTCTGTGCAGACGTTTGAATTGGTAGCCGGAACGGCCGATTCAGCCAGCCACAACTCACTCACGTTCCAGCTACACCGGATTTTACGCCTCTACGACTGGAAGGTGGAAATGATCTGGACCAGGACACAATGTCTACATATACAGCTAGATGCGCCACCAAGGCGACAAGCATACCCTGAGTTCACCTCTCTCTTGCTACGCATTCGTTCCTGTACACATTCATTCGCCATGGTTCGCTACAAGCTTCTCTTCGCCGCAGCAGCTCTCCTTGACCAAGCTGCAGCAATCAATCCGAAATGCAGTTCATACGTAGGCCTTAATAAGCTTATTGCTACTGTCGCCGCAAGGGTGTCGCCTTATCCTGTGGCCCAATCGTACTGTTCGAAGAACTATCCTATCCCGACCTCTACGTCCACCTCGACAGCGTCCGCGCAGACTTTGACGACGACAGTCGCTACAACCACACTGAGCACCACCGTCGCTACATCAACAACGACATCGACATTCACAGACACTTCTACGACTGTGCAGACGGTCACCGTTACAGCTGGCGCCGGATCCAAGAAGAAACTAAAGCGGGAACCAGCTGCTGTGACTTCGCCCATCCCTACAACAACTCGAGCTAGCACTCTTACAACAGTCGCTGTTCAAGCTACATCTGCAGCTCTAGTTGCTGCTGCCGCCGCCGCTCAGGCATCGCCAAGCCAGGTATTGAACAGTTTGGCTGCCTATAACAGAGCAATTGCCGCATCGATATGCACTTGCGTTGAGAGCACTCCAATCTCAGTTGTCACCACTACACCAACATCGACGAGCAGTGTCACTGCCACATCGACTTCGAGTATTACCGCGACAAGCACAGCGTAAGTCCTTTCCGTTTGCCGTTGAGCAGTTGGGACGTTCCGCTGACAAGAGCCTAGGTCCACTACCGTCACTACAACCACTACATCTACGTCTACGACTACAGTGGCAGCACCGCAAGCCACCTGCGCAAATCAAAAGCGATGTGGGTGTTCCGACTTTCTCTCAATGATCTATAGCTGACATTCATGACATCCAGGCTACTCTGGCTACGTGATTGAGAATTACTGCAACACCCGTCTGAGCGGAAGCTATGGTCCTTCAGTAACACTTAATGCGGTCGCATCAGGGGAAGCCTGTGGCAACGGATGCGCAAGTGATATTTCTTGTATCACTTTTGACTTCAATTCCGCCACAGGCACTTGTTTGTACTACGAGGTGTCTGTCGCCAACTTCCAGCAGGTGGCTGACACTACACACTACTCCGGCAGTCTGGTCGATTACTGCTAGTTTAGAATCTTTACTGCGTCAATATTCAGCATACATAGCGTTGCGTAGCATGAATGATCATAATGAAACTGCATCTCAATTGCGCGGATTGCCAATGGCCTAGTACACGACATCCATCATCTGCCATACTCTGCAGTTGTCATTCAATGATGCTTGAGTATTCTTGGCCATCGACGAGTCATTGCCTAGAAAGAAAACGCACAAGAATGCAGGAACTCGCGAGCGGCATCGGGAAGTCACACAATAACTCAAACCGAAGGCTCGGCTCGACAAACTTGAAACAACCCACTCCTCCTTCCTTCCCCGCAGGTCTATATAACAAACAAACCCACATCCACCATACCTCTCTTCCTCGCAAACCACCAATCCCGCATCAACGCCACCACCACTACCACCACCACCACCACCACCACCAAGCAAACAAACCATGCCTTCCCAAAACCCAACCACCAACAATCAGCCCTCCAACAACACCACCACTTCAAGCCCAGCTTACACTGAAGCCGAAAAAGACTACATCAAACAACAATGGGGTAGGGTATAGCCTGGGACCATT